GCATGTATTGTATTTTCGTTTCTCATGTAAACATTAAGTATATTAGCCTGCAGAATCCATGTGTCTTTCAGTTTCTATATTTTCCTGACTTATACAATGCTTGTATGAACACATCTTTGATTGTTTCAGCTGATGAATAAAACCATGCCTCATAGTTTAAGGTATTGATTCTCATCTAGATATAAACCTTGTTATTTGTTATCATCTTGACACAATTCATAAGTCGATCATTACCATCGTACTTAATATACTTATCATCAGGTTGCAACAGATTGTAAGGCTTAATAAATTAACATCATGAATCGTTTATTTTATTTTTCTATCACTTATTCATTTTTTCCGGCTTTTTTACAGAGAAGCTTCTAAAGGCACTCGTTATGAAATGTTTACACGCTATATGCTTCATTCAAATATTCCTAATATGTATCTGTTTTCTGAGCCCACTCCTGAAAAATGTCGTTATGCAATAAACATAACCAAAAAAGTTCATTTTCTTCTTTTGCTTGGTAGGTAAAAGGAAGTTTTGTTATTTAACTAATTAAATGTTATACTACAGTCAACTAGTAATAGATACTTACCTGTTGAGAGCCTCCATTTTTGCGATAATTGAAACCATGATAATGCCAACTAATGCCACTGTCGTGCTGAGTCTTACATAATCTCTATTCGTCTGTATTCTGGTGTCATATACCCTAAGCTTTGCGTAAATACTAATCTTCTGACTTCGATTTTTTTAAAATATAATATCATTAATCATTTTATAAATCATTACTAAGAAAGTAAGTAATATAAGATAATAGTAGTCAAGTATTTATGAAAACATATTCGAGGGAGTTATCGTTGCTAACGCATTCAATTTTTTCCATCTCAGGCGATTAGACAAAAATACTATGGAGCAATTCTTCATATCCAAAATTCGTTTTTGTTTCTGAATTCTATGTTTCCCGAGCGATCATGATTATTTAATTATCCTATTAATTGCTAATATAACATAAGTGTCCTATATTTTTTAGTACTACTCTATCCCTTTTTAAAGAAACCAAGGAATGTCATCTGTAGAAGTTGGTTGGGTTTTATATTTACAAGATGTTTTTAAGTCGTTGTTTATGATTTGCCAGTTTTATAACTGCCACTACTATTGTAATGAACGAAGACTCGGGTGAGCAAAGCAATTTGTTTTTATTATACCAAATCACACATTATTTCTAAAATATGAAAATACATTAAATACACGATTTATCCATCTTCCCTCAGTTGTCCCTTGCAAACTCCATCGTCCTTTTATCCGTATTTTTATTCTAATTTCTTCCTGTTTTCCTTTCTCTTCGTTTTCCTTCTCTATCTGTAAGAATTCTACTTTCAATTCCTGATACACACTATTTATACCTGTCCGTATAAGAAGTACACACCACATTGTGATTAGCTACACACAAATTTAATTTGTACTTCTCGATATGAATTCTGTAGTATTTGTTTTATAAAAACAGTAATAATACTACCTTTTATATACTACGATTCGGATTGATCAGTATCTTAAAAGTTAAGTTTATTTGCTTCAATTTACCTTTTTTCCTGAAGTAGTCTGAAGGCTAATAAACTAAACATGTTGTTTGTTTCATTTAGAGTTACTTTGTTCACTAAAACTAATATGAGTTGTTTGATAGTCAATCTATTCAGCATACAAAATATCCATAATACTAAAGAGATATTCATTTGATTAGTGTTTGTTTGGACACAATTTTTCTCAATAGTTCAAAGATGTAGTGATCTAACTTACCACTTTGAGATGTGTTACGGTTGGAAAACACTGACGGTCATATTGTAACCATTTATGGTACTTGAAAAGCTATCAGAATTAATTCAAATGTGGTTAAGGTCAGCTTCTTATACATCTATTTATAACCACGTGGTCCATCTTTTGGTTCCCTTATCGTTGTAATATTTCAATTTTAAACAAAATTATAAAAATCTAAATCACTTCAACATCTTTATTTTTTGTATACATTTTAGGCGGTATTGTTGATTATAGGATCATGACTGTACAGCAACTGAATGAGTTTGCTGCATTGTCATCTCAAGGCTTAGATGGTGCACGTAGTCATTTGGTTATGTTATTAGAGCAAAATCGAGGCGGGCAAATTGTGCAAGACTTAAACTATCATCAATCTTTCATTGTCAATGGACTAAAAAATTTGTATGACGAAACAAAAAATAGTAACGAGTCGTCTTCATCTGATTCATGAGTCATAACTATTTCAAATTTTCAGTTACCCTTTTTGTAAATATTTCGAGTGGATATTGTTAATTATTGTAAATATAAACATTATTATATGCATCAGTCACTTTTAATTCATATAATCTTATTTGCTTAAAACTTTGATACTTTTCGTTATCTTGAATAATTTATTAAAGCTGTGGTTTATTCGTTCAATCTCTCAAATTTCAATCAACTCAACACTTAATCACTACGACCTATAACGGTTTCGAAAGGTCGATAGTATTGGTGGCCCTAACACAGATCACCTGGCTCTTTACATAATACAGTAACCTGTTATTACGTGGCTTAGTGTTTTAAGCATTTGGTTTCCAACTATCCGATTTCATGTTCGAAATCTGCTCTAACTACTCTTATTCGGCTAGTATTTGAAAATGTACTCAATCACGGCATTACATTACTTGAGTACGTAGTTACACTTGTACTTTGGATTTCTAAGTGAATGGACGCCTAATGATGAGCTTGTATGCACAACATAGATGGGAATACACCTATTTTTAAAATCTTGTTTAAATTTCACTTTTTATTATTGAGTAATACAGTTATAATTTATGACCTATTTTAGAGCTAATTTCATTATTATCACTTAATCTGTTAATTGATAACTAGTGGTGGAATACTAAACTCAAGTTTCATCCTGTATTAGGCACTAGTAGATCGTATGTACCTAGACTTCATTGGTGATATAGTTATTAGTGTAATACTTATAACTCCATGTGACACGGATTTATGTTTCTAACCTTTCAAGTACAGTTGGACTTTAGTAACGTATCGATGAACTTAATTCAAATATTGCTAATGTGACTCATAACAGGAATAAAGTATCCAATTCATTTCGATTTATTAATCAGATAAGTCAAGTAATTTTAATGTTAGATTCTATAATTACTTGATTCTGTTCACAACTTTCTGATTTAGCTTTCGAATCAAGATTTTATTTTTAAGAATTCCATTTCAATTTAGCTACCATGTATGTTAATTATTTGTCATTCCAACCGCACAGTCTAGTTTTCTTATTTTAATTCAAGCATATCAAAACAAGATGAAAGGTTACATAGTTCTTGTCCACAAGGTCTACATCTATTTCTGTCTGACCAACTGAGTATTTGTCTTGGTATGTACGTAAAGGCTATAGCTCACCATTGAGTGTTCAAAGAACTAGAAGCAAAGGTTCCGCCCAAATTCTCGCTTCGGTTTGGGCACCCGGGCAGTATCACAGCCCTCTCATAAATCAAATGAGATTAGTGTGGCGCATATGTATTTGGTACTTCCTTGTACCAATATCTATGTGTTCAAACAACAAACAAATTGCTTAATATTAAGGCTTGTCTCTAATTTTGAAGCAATTGAACTTTCACGTAGGATTCGAATCCGTATCGTTCACTGCCTAACAAAAGGTGATATTACCTTCGACTGATCATAAATTTCACAAAACCTCAATTCATTGTCTTGTCGATAAATAGATACCAGGTCACTTATCCTAGTGGGTACATTGCAACATGAGAGATAGAATACAGTCAGCACTAGGGATCAGTTCATGCAAATATGTGTTATATATCTTGTTTGTAAAAATGATCGCTATTCATATGTTTCCGTCAGTTGCACTTTGATTTAATTCTAGTTGGATATTCATTTATATTTACCTAGTTAATATCTTCCAGTTACAATGAAAAGTGAAGTTGTATGATAACTTAAAAAAAATTCTAACCAGCAGGATTTGTTACATTTTGAATATTTCGTTTTTTCTTTGTTGAAAAGACTTGTCTGTACACTTTAACGATAGGTTTTTAAATAAAATAATGGTGTGATCGATTCAGATCTTCGTGTTGGATTGTAAAAAGTTTTATTAAAATTATTCTTTATCTTTTGAGAATTTAATATATATATATATATATATCCCTGATGTAAGAGATGTCTGATTGTGGGATACCTTAACAAGCAGATCATGACGGACTATATTTACCGAGTTAGTGAAGGTTAACACAATTTCAACTTAAACGTTTGTTCGAATCAATCATTTGTATGCATGGGTACTTGTTGATTATGGCAGTTCCCATTATGTATAATCCACAGTATTTTATGTTTCATATAAACTTTTCGTGTCGTATTTTGCATTGCTGTCGTCGGGTTTAACACTCATCGTCCACTTGTACTGTAAGCACCAAGATTTCTGAATAAGTTTTAGTTGCATTCATAAGTGATAAAAGAATTAGTGCTTTAGTTTAGTGACTTAATCTTGTTATCTTATTGAAATAGATGCAATCCGTTTCCAGTCTTAACAGTACGTCGTCAGTTTACATCAAGGTCATTGTTTTGGAAACTCCAATGATTTAAAGATTGATATATAGTGAAAAATTACACCCACTAATTGTCCTACATTAATTATTTTGCTTATACTCTGAAGAACTAATCTGTGTGTTTTAGCTAGCCTCCCGTATTTCACCTTCCAGTTACTATTGATGAGAAGTAGACACTTAACTAGATTGTTTCAAAATGATATACTTTTTTTAAAATGCATAACTTTTTGATAAGCAGTTTTTTTTCATTTTGCTATTTGAATGGCTATATGCAATTCTTTAAAAATTAACAAAAGATTAGATCTACATGTGTAAAATATTTGATTATTCGTTGTTTCTTATAATTGTTAGTACTTTAATTCCCTTACTCTAGTAAAGCAACCTTTCAAATATAGAAAAAAGAAATATCGAAAATAAATTATATTTTCATGAATCTACCGAAATGTATACCCCACTTGATTATATCGTATAAACAAAAATGTAAAAATGTTTGTCATCTAATGACCACTACTTCCCTATTATTAATATCACCTTCACCGTTATCAACGAAGTCTGATGAAATAAACAAACCAAATGGTTATAAAATACTAATGAAATCATCATCAGTTCGATTACGATTAGATAATTTACCAACACGTGTACAACAATATTTTAATTTTACTCCTTCTGATAAACCATCCGAATTTATTACTGTATTGTCAAGTGATATACAAAAAGTGATTAGGAAAACCCATTGTTCAGTCAACTTTGTAAGTTTTAGAATTTATTTATTTGCTTTATATGTCTTATTAAGATTTTTTCTTGTCCTCTTTTTATAACACGGGAACAATTAATATCATGCTATATGAACCTCAACTCCGCTTGTAGCTCTACTAGATCTACTGCCGGTCCCAAGCCCGGGTAAAGGGGAATGGTTGGGTGTGTGGCCGTCGACCCCGATCTCGTACAACACAACCTTGCTAAAAAGCACTAACCAAAATAAATAATTTATACCAATTAAACTCTACCCTCCGAGTTCAAGGAAGATTTATGACGCCTCATGATGGAAGTCAATATTCTTCCGAAGTCACGAGGTCGATGCCCCTTCTAACAATCAGAGTAACAACTTATATCGGTACATGGAATGTTCGGACAATGTGGGAGACCGGGACGATCAATCAAATAGTTACGGAAACGAGGGGATACAACTTGGTGGTGCTCGGAATCAGCGAAACCCATTGGGTCCAAACTGGACAGCAAAGTATAGATTCGGGAAAGATGCTGCTGTACTCTGATCACGAAGAAGAAAATGCTGCGCACACTTGAGCATTCGACGCTAGAACACTCCCAAGTCTCACACAGGCCACTTGTTGAGTAGACAGTGGCGATCAACCTTCAACGCATTGTCCTTCTCATTAGCTTCTTTCACGGCTTCGAATGTGACCGGAAGTCTGGAAACTGCGTCTGCCAGTACTGTGTGAACCTCAGCTTCAACATCGATGGAAGCTCCAAGCACCTCTTCTTGTTTTGCATGGGAACTAATTAATCTTGAGAGGGCATCTGACTGTCCGAAATCCGTTATCGGTTGATACTTTATCTTGAAATCATAGTCAAGCAGTATAGTTGCCCATCTCTGTAGACGGTTTTTGTATATACAGGGAGACCTTTCTTGGATCCAAAACTGTCAGTAGCCGTTTATGGTCTGTTAGTAAGGTGAACTGTCTTCCAAACAGCATCTTGTGGAACTTTTTACAGCGAATATAATGGAGAGGACTTCTTTCTTTATCTGACTGTAGTTCCTTTCTGCAATAGTCAGCAACCGTGCAGCGTGGACGATTGCCTTCATAGACCTGTCAGGCTAGGTATGTGAAATTACTGCCCTGATTCCGTAGTTTTACGCATCTGCTGCGACCACAGTTGGAAGATCTGGATCACAGTGTGTAAGCAGAAGGTTTGATGATAGTTGTTTTAGTTTTAGGAATGCTTCTTGGCATTCTGTTGACCAGAACCATTTGATATCCTGTTTCATCAATGATGATTTCGCTTTTATTGAAAACTACAAATACCTGACAGTTTTGTACCATAATTGACACTATTTGGAATAACATTCCTTTCACTTGTCTTCTCCTTTACGACTTAGGAGTGTTCTAGCGTCGAATGCTCAAGTTATACGCGGCATATTCAGAATATAAGCTCTAGATATAACACATACACAAAGCTACATGTATCTCATTGGATCACACCACAGAGAATCGGATCAGTCGTATCTGCATCAGCGAAAAATTCAGGTCACTAGAAGACGTGAGAACCAGAAGAGGAGCTGGCATAGCTCCAGATCACCACCAACTGGTGGTTGCCCAGATGAAACTAATGCTAAAGAAGCATTGGACAACTGAAGAAACAGTATTACAAAGATCCAATGCAACCTTCCTTCAAGATACTGACAAACTCAACGAATTCAAGGCAGCTCTCAACAACAGGTTCCACGCCCTACAAGATCTACCCAGAGAAGAAGAGGCTACTATGGAGGACAACTGGGAAGGGGTTAAAGAAGCACTAACTCCAACATACAAAGTTCTGGGCCTCAAGAAGTGTCATCTTAAGGAATGGATCTCTATGGAAACCCTGGACAAGATTCAAGAAAAGAAGAACAAGAGGACAGTAATTAACAACAGTCGAACAAGAACAGAGACATTGAAGACACAAGTTGGATACACTGAAGCAAACAAGCAAGTGAATAAGACTATTATAGCTGACAAGCAGAAATACGTGGAGGAGCTAGCAACAACCGCTGAAAAAGCTGTAAGAGAAGGAAATATGAAACAGCTTTATGATACGACGAAGGAACTAGCATGGAAATATAGCACTAACTTTGAATTCTGAAGGAAAGCGGTAAAGAGGAAGGCCAAAGAAGACACTGTGCCATGAAATTGAAAGCAGACATCAAAAGAACGAATAGCAAGTGGCAACAACTGCATAGGATTGCCTAGGACAGGGTGGGATGGAGAATGCTGTTGGGTGGCCTATGCTCCTTTGCGACGGTTAAGAGGCGTAAGTAGGTAATGGGTATCTGAACCTCAGTTTGAACTGAATTTTACTCATTTAAAACAACTAAGCGAATAAATATAGTATGGATGATTAACTTAAACTAATTCAGTGGACAACCCAATAAGAACCGGTTCATGTACTCGTCTATTGGTACTATATTAAGTTGAAAGCAATTAGAACCCCATGAGGAATTTTTCCATTTTCTATATTTTATGATACAATCGACACTAAGTTCCTGATTTTATGGTGTTTACTAGAATTATGGAAAGGTCATTTGATATTTAAGCTCATTTCATTGAAAATCTGTCATCTCTGCACACCCTGTTCTTGTACAACTATGTCTTCATAAACAGTGTGGGATAGGGTCAAGCGTGAATATCTTTGAAGTATTAAACTTACAGTTTCTAAACAAGCAATTGAAGGGGTAAAAAGAAATACTTGGAGATTCCAAACCCGTCTTAGTTTCAGAAACGATTCAATCCTACGGAGGACTGATCAGTTTTACGCACTCGTGAGAAACTATCAGTTCATAGCCTTAAACACTTATTGAATTGGAGCTCCATGTAGCTTTAGAAAACCTCAGTAAAATTTACTTTAGTCCAGTATTATCACAAGAATAAACTATAGTCGAACTTCATTATGCTGAATGTCTTTCAGATAACGGTCGGACTTAACCTTAAGAAAATTCCAATAAACTTACATCAGATGTTTTTATTTGTGATAGATGAATTGAAACGCATACAACCATATTCATAGTTTCATTAAATAATTTCATACTTTTTTTTACATATTTATAGATTAGTGATGATTTACAACCTCCGTTACTTCAACTGATTTCCAAAGATGATACATCAAATGTCAACAAATCATTACGTAAATATGGGATTAATTTGCAGGGGAAAACCCGAGTAAAAGTGATTGAATTTAGTTCTAATATAGACGATAATATGTTTAGAGTCCGGGTGAAACAGGCAGAAGATTTTTTACAAGCAGATCATTTTGTAGTTATAATTATTAAATTGAAACATCTTAAAAAATTATTGTCGAAAAAAAATATACAGTCTACGACTACGAAAGCGGGTGGCGGTGAACAGCAGTTGCGAAATTTGGGGAAGGTACGTGAGTGCAATAGAAGTTTATATATTCGGATTTAATTTAATTTCCTTGTATTTAATATATTGGTTGTCGTATATCACATACCTACTTAATTGTCATGTATTATTTACGTCAAGAGTTTTTATTCAGCACCATAATACAACACTACCCATTTTATCACTTGTTAAAATACCTATGTGCACATTACAATAATAAAACAGTTGCTGTTCAAATCGCTCACCCATTATTTCGTGGTTTTCACTTAGTTTAATGTACCCTACAGTGACGAAAATACCAGAGATCACAAAATCTGTGACAGGGAGTCTTATAAACCGATTTCATGGTAGGGAACGTAATTATTAAATTGAATTTTCAGTCAAACAATTAATATTCTTTGTACGTATTACACAATGAATTGACTCAATCATTTCAAATAAATAATACATTTTAATGCGCCCCAGTATGACATACCATATAACTGACTCGTAGGAGTACGATTTCAATTTCCATAGCTGATGCTCAATCGTTAGTTTAATTATTATTTCTCTACACATTTAAAAATCGTTCACTGACACATCTGTTTGTCTCGGCCAAAACAATTACAATCACCTGCAGTTAGTCATTCACAACAACCAAATTGTTGAGAAAAGAACTATTCCCCAATTTATACAATGATCATCTGCCCTTTCAAAGGCGTTTGTTGCAAACTCTCGATACTACTGTATATACTCATCGATAGTTCACAAGTTTAAACGTTTATTAATTTGAAGTGCCATCTGAAAAACCTTTCTCAAGAAGCAACTCGAACTACGTTACAAAACGTCTGTGATTCAGTTTTCCGCTCATCGGTTTATTGTATATATATACTACCAGTTCATTGTTATTAATGTCCCCTATTTGCTTACTGTCATGTCAATAATATAATCGGTGAGACTATGATTTATAGACGACCTTTTGGCGAAGCTAAACTGATCTTCAGAACGTCCACCTACAAACTAGGACTAAATGAGGGTTATAAACCAGTGTAAGGGACTAGAATTATGATTTTCAGTTGATGGTTAGGGTGAGGAATTAGATTTAGGGTTTTCATCAGCTAAAATGTCAAAACGTTATTTAACCGAATGGATGAGTGAATTTCATGCCAAAATCCAAGATGTGTTATCTTATATCTGATTGATTCGTCTATAAATTATAGTCTCGCCATATCATCTCATTTTCTGTGTGAAATACCAAGGCGTGCAAATTCCGACAAAATCGAAACTTCAGTCATCTTCTTGATCATATTACTAAATCTTATTCTCTGTTTCGTTGCTCTTACGTTTGTATAATGTTTCGAAATGTTTGAATTATAGCACGAACTAAGAGTCCCAGAAATAACGCAATTGAATTAAGAAGTAAGACACAAGCACAAGCGGATGTATTGTATTTGGAATTCGAAATCGAGCATTCCACAAGTACAAAGGTATTATTAGTCCGTTCAAACACCACATCCGCCACAGCTTAAATAGAAGTATAATTGTTTGTAATCGGTTGTACGTCTTCTTGTTAAGTTCATCCTGAGTCTGTCCGACATTGTATAAGATAAAAACTTTGTAGTATCTAGAAAGTGCTCATTAGTATTGGAATTAACAAACGAAATCGGAACAGACTCATCTGGAATTGTATACAACAAGCATGTCGGTTTTGTACTGAAATCATTAATATCTAGAATTCGAACCATAGATTTTTCAACACTATCCTCCCCCACGAAATAATGTTGGATCTTTATATCCCAAGTTATGAATAATGTGGCTTCATTTAAAACATATTTCTCACATTGTTTAGAGTAAACACTAGAACTGTTTTTGTGATAAGGGTAAACAGCAGTTGATATGAAATCATCCGAAATGTAATCAAACTCGAGGTCACTTAGTACTCGTGCTTCGCATTGAGCAGGTTTTTCACAAGGATCAAATGCATTATGAGGATAGGTAATATATGATATGACATCAGGATTTGATTCTTCTGAAATATTCTTATGAAATTCATTAGGACTGTCATTGCAGAGCGTAGGATCGTTAGAAAAATCAGCATCTATCCAAACCACATCAGGTTTTCGATTATGATTAGGTTCATTTAACATATTTTCCTCAGAATTGCAAGTAATTTCATTAGAAATATGTTAATTATTAGGAAAAGTCATACCTGGTACAATAGCATGAGAATTCTTATAAATCGGTTGATTAGGAACTGTTGTCTCACAAGAATTCTGGATTTCATTTAACTCTGAACTGCCATATGACTCTACACTGTCTTTTGAAATCGTTGATAAAGATGAATGATCATCATGAATACTCGACTCAGTAGAGTCAGGATTACAAGACTTAATATTAGTTGCAGTAAAATGAACATTAGCATTACAAACTGACTGAACTTGTCCAATATCACGACATTTGAAGCACTTAGAATTACGAAATTGACATGAATTAGAAGAGTGGAACTTGCAACAGGACAAACACTGACCAAACTTGTCCCCATCCTCGTGAACTGCATCGCAACTCGTCAATGAATTGTCTGCATAACCTTGAGTATACACTGGGTCAGGATGACGTAGTAATGTAGTGGTGTTTTTTATATCCTCATGAATCATTTTACGAGATCCTGCTTTACCGCATTCGAAATTTGTATACTGAACATAGTCTAGCAGCAGTTCCTTGAGAGTTGTATAAGGAAGCGAAATGGGCTTTTCCGGCATAGCCAGAGTTCTTAATAAGCTGTATGCTTCTCTCCCAATGAATGTGAGGAAGTGTGCCACAATATTAACATCCTCATCATCTTCCTTGGTCATAGCCCAGATTTCGAACCTTTCAAAGTAATCTTCAAAAGCTTCCGAAGTTGAATGAATATCTAACTTTTCCATTACAGGCTCCATCGCGACGCCAATATAATGCTTTGAATAATTTGAATTGTAGTATGAACTAAGAGTCCCAGAAATAACGCAATTGAATTAAGAAGTAAGACACAAGCACAAGCGGATGTATTGTATTTGGAATTCGAAATCGAGCATTCCACAAGTACAAAGGTATTATTAGTTCGTTCAAACACCACAGTTTGTCACAGGCTTCCTAATTTTGTTCACCTTTCAATGAATAATATTGGTTTGAAAGCAGTTTCCTAAATATTTGAAGCTACACAAGAAGTAATTCACATATTTATAAAAGGTAGAAGAAATTCACATATATAGGTTTTCAATACCATCTGAATTTTTGTCATTATGAGACCGCTTTCTGTTTGCAATTAAGTTCAAAGAATAATTAATTGATGACAAGTTATTATTGATCTGGTTGGTCACATTTTCTCAAAATTACTTGATGAATAAGAAGGACATTAAACATGTTATTGAAAACATCTCGAATATTATTGCTTATTTTTAGAATTAGTCAATCTATACGTTGATTCTTATACATGCCCACAAATACATATAATTTTGCTCTGTATTATTGTGTTCATTGTTTAGGAGAAAATTAACTAGCATTACTGATATACAGCTAATGTTGTACTGCTTATAATAACTTTTAAACATCCACATTCGTATAAGAAATATCATCCATTATCCAAATAAAGGTACTTCAATGAAGATCTGTTGGACGATATCACTTACTAAAATTGTATAATCGTATTTATACTTATTTTACATGTAGTAGTTTTTCATCTATTATCTTTATTTAATAATCCGTTTTATTCTAGTGCTTGATGCAGTATTGTTTTTTCTAACAATTATTTTGCTTTCTCATCTTTTTAAAAAAAACCTCAGGTGGAATATGAGAAAAATGTTACAAAGTACGCTAGAATATTTGAAGGTATACCTTATTGCAAAGTACACAATATTGATCGACCGAATGTGTTAAATATTGTTATGACTCTAGAACGTATAAAAATAAATTAGAACAATAATTATTACCAGTTTGTTCTTTTTTTAACCAGAATCATGCTATTTTCTGTTGAAAAGTCCATCATTTTGGGGATAATCAAAAACACTAGTGTGTTGTTTGTATGAACTAATGATTCTTTTTGTATTTATGTCTATCTGATTTTGAATTCCAAATACGATGCGTTCGATTATGCTTACCTAGTAATACCTAACTTAAATTGTGTTATTTCAAGGAGTTTATTATTTCACTCAAGAACTTGAAATCATTAGATTCTGATGTGGTACGAAGTCCTTGGGAAGGCTCACATGTTGGTGATCAGAGATAAATTCAGATATATGTCGTACAGCAAGCAATTGTAAAAAATGTCATCGGTTGAAAACTCAGGTTTTGAAGTGAACTCCATGGCTAGTATCGTCTGAGGCCTGGGAGAGAATTCATGCAGACTATTGTGGTCCGTTTCTTGGCAGATACTATGCACTTGTAGTCATTGCTTCTTTTCCAAAGTGGCCTGAATTTTCATAACTTCACCAAATTCTGATTTCACAATCCAAGCATTAAAAAAGGTGTTTGGTTTAAATTGAGCTTTTTCGAAGATTTATAGTTTGTACAATAATCTGAATACTCCTAGTTATCATACAATATCATTTACGGTCGTCAATAACTATGTAAAACTTCAGGTTCTTTTTATTTTTGCTTAGTATTCTTTACGACAAAAGCATCTTTCGAAATATAAGAAACTATGGAAACGTGACAGGAACTGTTAATTATAAGTATTATTAAATTCATGATAATGTTTGTTATAACTTCATTGTGCTTGCACTTTCTGCTTAATTATATATTCAACTTATAAACTCATTTTTCTGCATCAAATGTTGTTCTTTCTTTACCTGTAGTGATGACTTATCAATAAACTTTTGCACAATTTTTGTTTATGTTTTTATCGTATTTCATGTGAAGGTTTATTCGATAATCTCAACAGCTGTCTATTTGTGACAATTAGAAATAACTATGTATTTGGTTTACAAGTACCGGTTTCGCTGTGAGAACTTATAAGTACTGAACCAGTTTAGAAGTTTCGTCAACCTGTTGCTTCATATATATGACTTTCTTCACTGTAACAGTATATTCGGGTGAATAATTGCAAGATTTGTAGTCAGAAAGAATATGAACTTTCACCAAGCCTTTACGGGATCTGAGACGCTACGAACTCATCGCTTGTAGCGTTCTTTTGCAAAATAATCCGAAGATTGCATGTAGTTGTTATATTTATATTTAAATAATTCATTACATGGACAAACGTTCGTTCACATAATTTTCCATATCCAGAAATCTAATAAGTTGTTCACTAGTATAGACTTGTATATTGGAAAGGTTTCAGATTAGAGATTGATTGACAGAAGCCATAAGCTGCACATCAGAAAACATATAGATAGATTCTTAGCCTAATCAACGCTACTCTGAAAAATAACAAATCAATCATGAAAAAAAGCGATCAAACTTTGTTATGAGTGGTAAATTCAATACGTAAATGAAATAGCGTCTGACTGAATGTAGTCATAAGTATTTTATATGTTTGAACAACGTCCTTCATTCTTCAACGTTTCTACACTTTTACTTAGTCGTTTAGTCTCTGAGAATGAATAGTAAACACAATATAAACTGATTCACTAACTTCGACTATTACTATGAAATCTGTGGGAAATCCAATTGCGACGTTTAGAATAATGACAGTAATTCACGGTTTACATACACTATGAATTCATTGGAGAAAACAGTTAGAAATTAATAGTCTATAGGTAATTTCAGATTTTGCTTAGAGAAATTCATTCGCTAAACCTATAACAGATACATAAATTAGTATTAACTAACAACATGGTTTAGTATCCATGCTCAAAATAAGCACGCATTGTTTCACTAATGAAGAAAAACGATCGACAAAGGTTAGACCAACTCCTCAGCAACATGGCTCAGCAACAGACATATTACTGCGAATGAGAGAGATCATTGGTCAATGGATCTTCGGCGAAGGCCCGTTTAGACAACTTTTCTTGTCTCAGCTTCCCCAACAAGTTCAAGCAGCGCACGTCTCATTTCAAAACAACGCTGTAGACAAACCGACTGCATCTGCCGATCGAGTTCTGTAGATCACGAGAACTTACGACGTCAACACCTATTCAGTCTAAGAGAAAGCTCAGACGACACAAAACAACGTTACGGAACTCTGTCATGCTCTGACACGTTGCTTTAGTAATCGTCATAACTATAGACGATCTCAAACTCCTGGGAAGTGTGTTCACGGAAACCATCTGTCTCTAGATTACGAGAGACAGATAATCCTGAGTGTTTCTGGTGTCATAATCAGTACAGTAAATTTTCTCAAATTTGTGGAAAACTCTGCAGTTTCCCAAGCCTCAAACTGATTGACAAGTATGTGGTGACTTACATTTATCACGAGAACATGACTGGTTTAATAAAAACAATTATTATTATAACCAACAGTACCAGTGTTTGTTTTAATGTGCTTTTGTTTGACTGTGCTAATGACAGCTATATTGTGCTTCCATTCTTATACTCACACTTTTGATTGTGACTTCGCGAATTCGGTTACGTTCTGTAACCAAGCTTGTATCCTCGCACGATCTCGGTATCCTTTCGATGCCACGAGATCGCCAGCAAATATATCTCGATTTGGTCCATCAACTGCCTTCTAATATTTGGCTTCTCGGGGATTTTATGGATTTATTTATTTACGTTCAACCCTCGCCATCTGATTTATTTGCCACGTGTTTCTTTGTAGCGGTGTTCACAGTTAATCTCAACTCGATGCCACGCTACAAGGAAATTGTTACTTGAAAGTTCCAGGCCAGTATCCGGTAATGACAACTGTAGTCGTCTATTATATATTCCCGATATGATTACGACAGTTCGCTAACTTGTTGGCACTGGTGCAGAAGTTATTGTTTTTCCAGCAAATTCTAACGATCGACTATACGAAGCAGTTTTCAACTTACGGGCGGCAAATGGGAAACCGGTCGCCACCTATAGTAAGCGATTTTTGTACCATAACATGGACTTACGCAAAACCATTCACTGGATCTTCGTTGCTGCACGTGTTTCTATGCCAATCATTAATATAAACCTGTTACAACATCATAAACTACTTCTCGACAAGCGCAAACGGAGGTTGCTAGACGGAATTAGTAGTCTATCTGTGTAACGTCTTTTTTCGGTTGTGGATTATCCCCAGTCATAGTAAGGCAGACGATCGATCCGTACTACCAACAAATACTCGAAAAGTACCCTGAGATATACCAAACACAACCGGAATCGCCATGTGTGGACAGCAATATTACACAACACATCACGACCACAGTACCACTTGTATTCTCGAAAGCGCGCCGAGTAGCACCCGAAAATATGAGGTTGGTTATGAACGGATTGGAACATATGATAGATTTAAGAATCATTCAGTGATGGAAGCAATTTCCTTCAGATGTAATTTTAAGCTATTCTCTAGACTACAAGCAAACACAACGTCCTGCCGTGGAATCCAGGGTGACCGTTTTGTCCTATTTGGGACTCGTCTGCTGGATGTACCGGCATCCTATATTTGATGTTCACTCTGTGACCTGAACCTAGTACCGTTCGCTTCAAAGGCCATCGCTTTATTCAATCAACTACTAAGTTCTGATAGCCACTTGTTAGGGAGATATTGCTGTTTATTTAAATCTTCGGCACTTTGAACACATCGTAGAAGGCCGAGAATTCATTATTTTTACCGATTACAAACACCTCTCCTTCTCTTTGAGTTCAGCTTCAGACAACTAGACTACGTTTCTCAGCTCACTTTGGTCATACAACACATTTCTGCCCTAAAGAATGTAGCGGCAGACGCTTTGTTTCGTATGACTTCATTAAAAAGTTTCCAATAAATCGATCTTCCTAAATTCATTCAGCACAAAAAAAGGAGACACCGTTTTACAGCACGAGTTAATTTCAACAACTTTGAAACTGCCTATTAAATAAATGGGGACATTTAATCTTACCTTATTATGCGACACACCTACAGGGATCGTTCGGTCGTGTCCAAACATTATTGGCGCAAAATCTACAATACGTTACACAAACATTTTCATCCAGGTATTCGTGCAACCATCAAGCTCATAGCAGGACGATTTTGCTGGCCTAGTATGAATAAAAATGTGAGAGAACGGGCATGTAGAACTATGGTCTACTATGATATTAGTACTGATCGAACAATAAACCTAATCCTAAAATTGTAGATTTGTCATGATATAACTGCTTATTCTATAAGATTTTACGTGGAAGTTACATCATCGTCTACACGAACTCATTGCATCATAACAATTGCCAATACATGGTGGAGAACAAGCTTAGGCTATAGATAGGACAGTATATTTAATATGGATAAAAGATATAAGATAACATGGACCACGCCTGCATGTCCGAGCCATGAGATTCGATCAACACCAATTCATTCAACTCATTCTTCACGCCTTGTCCATCGTTAGGTATTTCTCCGAGTTAAATATTGAATATCTATCTTCCGAGTAATCTCGTATTTACCTTTGAGGATTGTGTGGTTATGGTCCAATGCCACTACAGGCACACTCCTGTGTAAGCTGATAGAAATCCAAGGTGACTGGACACAACCAATGCCCTTTAGGCTCTCCCACAACTGTAGATGCTTTTTTCGACGATTTTCATCTGGATTTAGTAGGACCTGTGCCAGATTCAAATGGATACTCCTATATCTTCACTTGCGTAGACCGTTTCACTCGATGGCCAGAAGCAGTACCCATAAAGAATATCACTACTACCCAGTACTACGCCCTCATCAAACGATGGGTAGGAAATTTCGACTGCCGTCAAATATCGCTCAATCAGTGGACGTCAATTGAAATATGAACTTTTCCGATTTCTGGTTACACTATTAGGAGTCGTGCGACTCCGATCGACCATCTACCAAGCAAACGGATTTGTAGAACGCTTTCAACGACATTCAAAGCTTCACTCTCAGCTGCAAACGGTTCACGGTGAACCGACACTTTTCCATTCGTCTTATTTGGTATTCGCAATGCAGTGAAAGCTGACATTGGATACACGTCAGCTCAAGTAGTTTATGGGACGACACTCCAACATCCAGGAGAGTTCGTGGATCCTTCACCAGCACCAATGAATAAGGATCTAAACTCTTACACGAGCAGTCTTGCAAATCTAACGTGTTCAGTTAAACCTGTTTTCACCCAACCACGACCAACTGATGTTTTCGTTAAAACTGCCATACCATAAAGTACATACGTCTTTGTACGTCGCAACACTGGGTTGTCGTGTTTCGATCATTGAAGGCGTTATTGGTTAAGATGCTGTCAAACTCCGAATACTTGTGGCACCTATAGATCAATACAATATTGCCACGTTGCAGTTGACTAACCGTTTACTTAGATAGTGAATAATAACAACAGTAAACTACTTATGAACCGAGATAAAGGCTATGTGACATGGAACGGTAAGAATTTCGTTCGCAACTGATACATAAAGATATCTAAAATACATGATAACATGTGACATGTGGGAAGGAATTCATAGCTTCACTTACTCTTTATGCTTCTGTAGGCCAAAATGTTTTCAAGTTTCGTCACATACTCTTATAGTTTTAGAAATCAATTGTTTGACCTGTGAAGTTTAACTACATATCAAGGTGATGTGGCGCTCTAAACAATCTTTGAGTCCTCGGTTTTAGAGTGTTTCTCACAGTGGCATAGGTAAGCCAGGCATTACTTTATAATTTGAAGATTATCGATTGCTCAAGTGATACATTTGGAACGATTAAACTGAAAATGGTTTGCATCTGATTGATGGGTTTATTCCAATGGCATCCTTAACCATCCGACGAGTTACACAGTACATATCAAACAATTTAGGATAGTGAACTACTTTCTAGATAGTCCAAAAATTCTCGGGCCTCAAAGCATATCCAATACTTCAGCTAAACTAAATAGTAAACCCTTCATTATTATCATGGTAGACGTTGTCGACTGATGAAATAATCAGTTTCGTCTACCTAAAGTGTATTACAAATCTTTGAGCTGGAAAAAAACAACAAATCTATTTTCAAATGTTGGCCTGTTTACATTTGGTGATAGTACGTGCAAGTAGTACTACTCATCGTTTTTGTTTTGGAATTGTCAAAGCCATTTTATATGTTAATTGCACCTTCTACTATTAATTGGACTTTATTTTAATAATTTGAAGATCAGTTGGGTATCACTTTCTATCAACAGCTCTGTTAAAAAGGACTTTAATGAAGAGATGGCTTTGTTTTGCTTAATTGACCGGTTAACCTGACACTTGATAAGAGCGAATATAAAGAATGAGAATAAAAGTGTTCCATCTGTTTCATTGTGCATCATGAGCTATGCAGTAAGATCCCGTGGCTTCTTGTTTGAGTTTATGAAAAACAGTGGCACCTCACTATATACTTCATTACCATCATAACCAATCTTGAATTGTTCTTGTGATCGTGAGGACTGATATTCTCTACCTTTTTTCAATCAAGGTGTCCTTAACCTTTTAATAGTCCATTTCTAGATGCAAAGAACTCTCACGTTTCCGGTTTTATAAACAAAATTATGACGTGACACACACAACGCGTCGTATAATCTTGCATCAAACTATAAGCTAAGTTCGTGTTACTAATATCAGTTGCCACATTAAAGTACACTAGTTCTGTTGAAACATGATCTCATCTATCATGCTACTTGTGCACCCTGATGATCCACACACATTTAGGTACCTTGTGAAATGTTGTGACGCGATATTTTCGATAAACAGTCATCCAAAACGCTTGTTATAAGCTATTTATGGACATTATGTTTTTGGTAAATTTATTTTTTCTAGGTTTATTTCTCTTTCAAACAAAACTGTTCTGTTTATGTTTCACCACTTTTTCTAGATCTGATATTGGTAGACATTCCTATATTTGTAAATTATTGTTTGGTAAATCACAAGATCCATCACAATTCATTTTTGGATTATTTTCTGAAATAACATGACTTGGTATGTTTACTTATTTATCCAAAATTTTTCGATTAAAAACAAGTCCTCGTGTCTAAGTTGGTTGACAATATCTTTACAACACGTAGTTTCTTCTGTTGTTCACACCATACTCATTAGAGTTTAGTGAACATGTAGTGAGGCCTTTGAATGTCATCGGTTGTTGTAATGGCGCCTGTGTATTCTAAAAATCATGAAATAGTCATTTGGCTGAGCGTTGATTCAGCAATACATAAACTAAACACAATAACGTCACATGAGAATTTTCCATACTATATGTATATACATTTATTACTCGATCTATCAAATGTACATCCTACATTTGTCAAATTAGATATTCTTGATTTAGCTGACAATTCTCCCGAATTTTTTTGTCGTGCACCTGATATTTGCTTATCTATAGTTGTGACAGTATATTCAACTATTAGTCAAGTTCATCGCTTCTGAAATAAAACCTATTTCATATAAGTTAGATAAAATTGCCGCACAGCGACTACGTGACCGAGTAAATACCAAAATATCAGGTTTATGTGGTACTGGCAAAGAATAAAACTACCTATTATTTTATATTGCTACCTGTTGAATCTCACTTTTGGTGGTCTTCACAAACTGAGTGAGCAATGCGTCCAAAACGTGTGATGTTCTGTTAAATTGTGCGTTAATGGAGAGTGTAAGTAGTTGTCATTCATGACTAGTGACTTTCATATTCACAAACAGCTGAGTCCAAAAGTTCTATTTAGTTCCAACGAAATCGGCGAGGTGCTATGCGGCAATGTTTGTCATTGAAATGTAATTCAAAGAAGTGCATAAACTTAGTGAAAGTGGTTTACTCGAACATTTAACCCATTTGGAGCTTTTTGCAAGCTGTTATGTTTGTGGACTTCAAGTGGTGTTCGTCACAGTTGTACACTACCCCTATTTTTATTTAACTTCATCATAGACGTGATTTGAGAGACAACAGTTTCTTTGACTTTTTAGGGGTTATTCTCTCACTGCATAATTCACCTTTAGGCTTGAAATACAGAAAAAATAGTTCTATTTGGTAAGTACGCGGACAAAATGTGGCTCCCCTGAAATCTTGAGTAGGAACATAAGCAAATTTTTTGGACCCTCTTCGGTCTTACATACAGAATATTGCTTCGGGATTAGCCTGTGCCATCGCCTAGAGTGATCGTAGGTAATGAAATGGTTGAATTCATTGAACATTGCACTTAGATTAGAAGACTCATCAGCTCTAGTGGGTTGGTGTGTAGTCAGATTTCGTTTTTTTTCAAAATTGTATAGATTACGGAGTAGGTGATATTTTTATCTGCTTATCAAGGTGCAACTAATACTGTATGGCAGTATGTTTTATTTTATGGATACGAAATTGGAATTATAAAAGTAAAAGGCATGCTTAGACTGTATGTTTCTAATAGACGTCTTCTGCACATTTCTTGCTAATGCTGGAAGTACCGATTTAAAAATGTAAGTTTGAGATGCATGGTACAAAGCAATCCCGCTAAATTGAATAAGGCTGTAAATTCTCATCGACTAATATAGTAGGGACATGTGCTAAGTGAGAACGACGAATCAGTAGTCAAGGCATTCAGGTTTCAACCACTACGTCGCAGATTAGAACCCCACTCCTTCAGTTTAAACAACCAAGTAATATCTCTAGCCCCTTCACTTAAATGTTTTATTTATTCAAACGTAAACATTGGTACAAAGAAGCACCAAATAGATATGCGCCACATAAATCATTCCCTATGTGGGAGGGCTGGGATACTGCCCGGGTGCCCAACCCGAAGCAGGTGGTTTTTTCAGGGGGTCACACCCGGAGTCTTTGAACTAAAGGTCTAGTCTTCAAGGCAGTGGAGCAACGTCGGGAGATACGGTCCTGTGGTAGCCGATGACCGACAACAGGTTTATAAGCCTTTTGTTCCCTAAGGATCCTAGAGCCCATGCGCACCGTTGTTTTGGAATCAGGGTTTTCCAACTCCCCTAGGTGGATCTTCCATATCCACTGAGCCGGTTAAAACGCCAGACATTATCACATCGTTTTCTCAATTTCATAAACAACAGTAATTTCGCGAGAAGGCGGTGAGTAGGACTTCCTGACAGTGGTTGTATGCACCTGGCTATGTGATGCATTTCGAAAGGGAGAGCTGACTCTCCCCACTCTTGGTCTTACCAGGGCATTTTGGGGTAGATTATCGTTCGAGGACAAGGGCTGAACTTTGTACTTCGTATATGACTTGACTAAAAACGAGTTTGCGTATGTCCAGCTACTCGGTGTCTTGACATGAAATCTTGGCTAGTATAAGAATAAGTTGATAGAGAAGTATGGGCGGAATAATCAAGGTGTAGCATAATTTTGTGGAGTTATCGACTGCTGGGTCAAGGTCTATAGGTTGGTCCAGACTACCTCGTTAGGGCCCTCTTGATTATCTCAACTATTAGTTGGAGACGTTTGGTGATTTGACTCGAAATCCTTTACTTGCGTAAATGCGATCAAACCATATCTTCTAGAGCTAGCCCCAGTATTCCTTCATACACAAACCTCTCCATTTTGTCTTCTTAAACCCTATCCTGAATTCAGTCTCTCTCACTGTCATTGGTGCCATAATTATTTTGGCTGGGTTTGTATTCGTTATATTGATTCCATATTATCGTGCTCAGTGGTATGGCGACTCGGGTTAACGCGTAATTGCGTTAGTCTCTCTGTCGATTATAACTGACTGATTACCAAAAATGTAATGTTTTTGAAGGAAGAATAGCTTTTCATTTAATGATATTTAGTTTTGGAAAATAGATTACAACTTTGATAAAAACTCAAATATACAAGGAAATTTCAAGACACCTACTATTTAAACAACTTAAAGAGAAACATTTTTATGTTGTGTAGTCCAAAGTGAAAAAATACATAGGTTAGCTAAAACAACAATGTTCTGTCGTCGTTTTCCTTTGAAACCCATACAATACATTCCGTGTTTAAATCACTTGAATCTACTTAGCAAACCAGAACAATCAGATGTGAAAGATGAATGGATGCCCAATCGATTTCTAGTACAATTTGTTGATTATATCTGTTTTGTCTCTCATCTATCATATGTTCAAATTTCTTCTGTTTTAGATATTAATGATTACATGGACCAGACAGATGAATTGGTATTGATCAGTCATGAAGCAAAAGAATTTTATGATGAAATTCGTGGACTAGTTGTTGTCTTTTTGCTATTCACCATCCTTTTCTTTATTGCTCATATCACACTGCAGTATTTTCTAACTAAAACGGAATGTGAGCTAAAGCCATATCGAGGTGAACGTTTAGCTTACCAACTGGTCTTGGGTATATGTACATTTACACTGACGATAGGCCTGACTTCATACAGCTTATTGCCGTTCACCATCATCACCAATGAGATTCTAATTATTTTTCCTAAATCTTATTATGTACAATGGTTAAATGGGGAGTTAATACAAGACTTGATATTGCTTATTAATATCGGGTGTAAAATATCTTATTTAACTATACCATTTTCTTATTTTCTGTTAAATTCTCAAGGATTTCTATACAAATCACATTCCTTGACACCACGCTTGGTTTATTCTTTCACAATGGTTTTATTCTTTTACATTTTATGTTTTGGTACGTCATGGTCGCTAACCAGCTTTGTATCAGCATTGAATTATTATTTTTTATCAGATGTGTTACCTACTAGTGATAGCAACTCATTTCTTACATCCCATTATCAGACTTATTTTTCTGTCAGTCCTACTCATCACCTTGACTATTATGAAAATCACCCAGTTTCACTTCTCCTGGATTACGTGAAGTCTGTTGGCTGGATAAGATTTCTTCAGGACGTTTTCATTCAGGTGATATTTATGTCAGCCTTAGAATTAATTCAAATGACAGCCTCTTTATTAGGACTGTTATTATTATTTATTTGTACTCCAGTGGGTCTACTGTCTATCGTCTTAAACCTAATCACAATCAGTATACATTCTTTACCGAATTTAATACCAAAGCAAACATTGCATAATCGTATTGAACAATTAAATTTTGAAGCGTTAACCGTCATGGATGACATTAATTGTGTCCAACTTCTGTATACTGCTGGCAATATGATGAATGAGGAAGGTAATTTTTTGGTTCATAAATCAATCTGTTTTCGGAATTATACCGATGTCAAGTCAAAAGAAGAGTTATTACTCAAGTATACAAATGAGTTGGATTTGTTGAACTTAGAAATATTACAGATTAAACAACGTATAAACGCACGTACGTTTTTGCGATTTATGCGCGAATCTACACACTTACTTTTTTATTTCTTCTGTTTAATCTTGCTTTTTGTTCTGTTTCGCTTATTGGAATCGTTTGTATTCTTCAATATCATTGATCTCTTATGGAGTATGGTTTTTGGCAGTTATGGTAGTAAAGACAGCAGTAGTTATTTGGCGACAACGGAAAGCAAAGATTATTCATCATTTCCGGGTAATTCTGCAGATTACAGTTTTACACTTGGCTTAAAACCTGTTTCGTCACTTGGACATATTGGGGCTGCTTTCCAGGTAATTTTTCATTTGCATATGCTCTTGTGTATGTAAATAAGTGAGATATAACTGGTTCCATACATTTTTACCGTGTCTGCTTATCTGTAATCATATGGTATTTTAAATGGCAATTACATAAACTACTCACATTACACTTAATACATAATAGTTGAGACGTCCTATTCTGCTAAGCTTACAAAGCTTTTCATTATATTGCTGTTTGAATGGTATTGATTGGGCATCATACACGCAAGCTTCTCACATACAACCAATCTTCATCAAATTGTGTTTGTAATATTAAAGAAATTGTACCTGTTCTGATATTTCGATTCCAGCGATAAACAGCTGTGCTTGTACATGCTTCATAATGATATTCTGAAACCCTATTTTGGAGTATGAATTAGACCGGATTCTGAATTCAAGGATTAAAGGTACTGGTAGGTATGAATGACGTCTTCCAGTAATTTTTATTACTTGATTAATAAGTCAGTTGACATACGGGCTTCTACGGATATCTACCCTGCATGTGATTTTATGTATTAATAATACAGTTCAAGCCGACCATTAATAATTATGCTCATTTCGCTCCATAAGCACTAGTGTTCACCGTTTTGCTGTATAAGTATAAAGTACACCACAGTGCTGATGGATTTGGTTTGATATAGACGTGTAATATATGAAAGCGTATTTAGGTTTTTACGCCATCCACTACTTGTACACGTCATGTGGCTCAATGGTTCCAGCTGAAGTTTAAGTTCCTATGGGCTTTGTTCCACCTATTAGGTTTATTAAAACGAGTTTCCTGACTTGCGCCCCCATAATAATCGCGGCGAAATTCCCGT